GTCAAGCCACCCTGCCCCGGTCAGCCCCACCAAGGTCCTGGCTTGCCAGCCAGGGTGTGAAACGAGGGGCCGAATGAGACCGATTCCGGACCGAGCTAGCTTTCCACGTTTGGATTCTCCTTCCGAAACCTGCCACGGGTCCACAACGGAAAGCCAAAACGCCGGTCTTAGTCCCCAGAAAGCTACGCCAGCACGGTTCCTCTCGAATCACTGGCTCACATTTTGGAAACAGGCACACTCACACATGCGCAGGTGGGTCCCATCCACGCCTGTCCCCCCTTGCCCTAACGGCCCTGAATCAGTGCTCCCCTTGGAAATGGCAAAGAGGAGGTGAAGCCAGCAAAGGGGGGTGGGGGTGGGGGTGTCATGCAAGGCCGAGAGAGGGGAGGGGGTCTTGGAAGAATAAGGGAGAAGGAACAGGAGGCCTGAGGGGAGAAAGGGATGGGACATACACAACACACAGAGTGTTAGTTTCAGCCCCAGAGAGATGCTCAGAAAATAAAACTTGGCGACGGAAGCAGCCCAGCCTCGCAGGCCATGCAAGAGGGCGGCCGGCAGCTGGTCCCCAGGGGGCACTAGGGGGCAGCCAGGTTCTCAGGTTCCAGGGGCGAGCACCCGTCCACCAACCAGGGTGTCATGGGGGTGAGCCCCTCTTTTGGTCCCCAAAAGCAAAGAGGAATGGAGCAGGGAAGCTCAGACCCCCCACCATTCTGCAAATTGGAGCACCACTGCAAGACAGTTTTGCAGGAGGGGGACTATCCCCGCCCTCCCCCTCCGTGCCACAAGCCAGCATGGCTGAAAAATCGGGGCGGTGGCGGTGTTTTTCTGGGCCCTCCCCTCTCGATCCGCCTGGCTGCCCTTTGGGGGCTCCCCTGGGGGGCAGCTGGGGGACCCAGCGTAGGTGCAACAGCGCACAGAAGTTGCTTCATGGGATGGTGTTTTCCATGGATTTTTTGGGGGGGAGGGAGGGGGAGGGCGGGGAGGGGAGGAGGAAAAAAAAATCCAAAGCATAAAAAAAAATCCTTCTTCAACCAATTTTTTTCCCCCTGAAATATTGTTGGCTCTTCTGATTTTGCAAGGGCGGCTGGGAAAAATCAAATCAGATTTTGGGGGGGGGGGGCTGTGTAGGTTTAGATTGTTGCTGCATCGGGAGGGCTGAAAGTGTGGGGGTCATACCGCAGTAGCAGATCTGGGTTCGAGTACCTTCCTTACTCACTGAAGCTCCTGGCGGACTTGGGGGCAAATCTCTATTGCCTAGCCATTCTACCCCACAGGGTTGTTGTTGCGAGGATAAATGGGAGGAGGTGGAAGGAGTGTAAGCTGGATCTCTTGAAGATCAGGCATCTAGCAAATAAATCAGTAATCACATTAGCCCAGGGGTAGGCAATCTTGGCACTTTTATGACTCGTGGACTTCAACTCCCAGAATTCCAGCTTGGCTGGCTCAGGAATTCTGGGAGTTGAAGTCCACGAGTCATAAAAGAGCCAAGGTTGCCTACCCCTGCATTAGCCCATCGGGGCCATGGCTGATAGGGGGTGCTGCTCCGGAAGCCGAAGACTATCATGTTCTGTTGCCAAGATGTAGCATTTAGGGGCTACAGCGTGAGCAGCGGCCGTGAATGATGGGATTTGCAGTCGAACAATATCTTAGAAGTCTCAGTTATCCGAGTCTCTTTTGCTTTTCCGCACTTCCATTTCCCTTTTTGGCTACAACTCAGTGGGCTGCCTTTTCTCAGCCTGGTGCCTTCTGGATATGTTGGAGAACAAGGTCCATCATCTGCTACCAGCATGGGAATTGTAGTCAAGAGGGTGGCTGGTCTTTTAAAGTCTCCTTAGGACTTTAAAAGATACTAACTGATTTAATATTTAGGATTTAGAGACTTATACGGGAACTAAAAAACAGTTCCTAGAATAATAGTTTTGATTTATAACGTAGAAGTTGGATTGAGACGATAAAGGTTATTTTATTAGTAAGTGATGAGGCACTAGGATGAGAAATAGAATATGCTTGTGAAATAAAGTAAGAATTTGTTCGAGTAAATAATAAGTATATTTTAGATATGACAACTATTCTGTAACGAATTAAGGGAACTTTGGGTTACCCGAATCTAAATACTATGGATATTAAGCTAACCGGAATACTGTAATTGAAATTAGGCAAAATTTAAAAACAGGACATGGATGCACATAAGTTAAAATATATTGACAAATGTTTTAAGCGATTGAGTTATAACTAGCAAGGTATTAATTTGAATGTGATATGATAACTAAGGGAAAGAGAGAGGAAATTTTTGATGATGTAACCTGACACATGTGTGAAAGAGCTTGTTATTGGATTATGGGTTACCCAGTCACCACGTTGCTTCCTTAATACTTGGATTTTCGTAAAATTGGAAAATTAATAAAACTTGTTTAAAAAAAAAAAAAGAGGGTGGCTGGTCAAGCGGGGCTGGGTTGAAGCCCACTGCCCTAACACAGCTGGGACTCGGTTATTCTACCATTTCCTTTGCCCCAAGAAGTAAAATAAAGGGATTTTTTTTGTGTGTGTGGGGAGGGGGGGGGCACTGAAATCCATTTCATTTTCCAAACTGCTGGAAGGATCCATTTTCAAGTCTATGGAGATTCTCAATCATCCGGGTCACGATCGTCCCCAAAGTGTTTTTTCCAAAAAGCCACTGGACTTTCTTGGGTTTTTTTCCCTTGAAAACGTTTCGCTTCTCATCCAACTGAGCTTCCTCAGTTCTTCCGACGTTGAAGATGAACTGAAGAAGCTTTTCGGATGAGAAGACGAAATGTTTTCAAGGGGGAAAAAAAAACCCAAGAAAGTCCAGTTGCCTTTTGGAAAAAGCGTCTTGGGAATCCCTTTTCAAGCTCACCAATGTTAGGAGTTGAAGCGCTTTGGATTCGTTCCCCGGAAAGCAGCCAGCGGTGCCAAATGGCACTTTGGGGGAAATTCCAGCTGCTCCTCTTTCTGGGAATCCCGTGGCTGCGGCGGAGGGCAGACACGCAATCCCAGAAAAGGGGTGTCTACCTGCTCTTAAGAACTTCAGCCAGGTGCTGGGTCTGAAACGCCGCTTAAAGCACGACTGGAACCGGAACTTCCATTGCTAAAGCAGTGGAGTCATAAAGTGAACCGTGTCCAATTTTATTACCTTTTTGATGCGGTCGTTAAATGCATCACACAGTCCTTAAGTGAATTTGGCTTCCCCTTATTGGAAGCCCCCCTGGGAAGGTCTGCAATGGCAATCACTTGACCCCGGGAGGCTGCAATTGTCATAAATACAGGCCAGTTGCCGGGCACCTGAATTTTGATCACGTGACTGCAGGGAGGCTGCTGCGATGGCCGTTAAGCGCGAGGACTGGCGCAAGTCATTTTTTTTCGGCCCCGTCGTAACTTGGAACGGTCGTTAAAAGAATGGTTGAGGACTACCTGCAATTGAATCCAAAGCATTCAATGGCCTGATTAAATACGGTTCCACTGCCGGTTTTATTATTTCACGGGACTAGGTTTCCTGTCTTATTATCCTGGGTTTTAAGCCTTCCGTTGCTTTATGTTTTGCATTAAAAAAAAAAATTGTAGCTCACACAGGGAAAGTGTCTGTGGGGCAGTTATCCATCCACAACACGAACAAAAATTCACAATTGTGACTGCAGGCTGTTAGGTCTGGCTGGTTCAATTTATAGACAATTCTTGGTACCAACCAGAGTTTTCACCTATTACCGCTGCATAGCTTTTATTGGTGTTTTTGTTATTATTTTGTTGGCTGCTTTTTTTAACTCGTCAGTTTCAACCCGCGGCTGTTTTCTGCATAGCATTTCTTTATAAAGATTGATTTGTTATCCAGAAAACAGGAAATGCGAAGGAATTTTTTATGTTATTTATTATATTATTTGTTGTTTTATACATTTAGTCGTGTCCAACTCTGGGCGACTTTACAGCCAAGTGGTTATATATTATTATTATTATTATTATTATTATTATTATTATTATTATTATTATTATTATTATTATTATTATTATTATTATTATTTATATCATATCATATATCATATATCATATATCATATATCATATCATTATATTATATTATATTATATTATATTATATTATATTATATTATATTATATTATATTATATTATATTATATTATATTATATTATATTATATTATATTATTATATTATTAAACTACACCACACTACACTACATTATATTATTATATTAATTCTATACTTTTATATTATATTACACTACATTACATTATATTATTATTTATATTTGTTTATCAATGTTGTTTGCTGCCCACCTTGCCGCAATATTATGTTATGCACCCTAATTCGGTATTTCTCCACCTAGGCAACACTGAGAGGTGCGCTCTTCAACTCCCAGAATTCCACAGCCCAATATGGCCGGCTGAGGAATTCTGGGAGTTGAAGTGCACCTTTCCCAAAGGTGCCTAAGTTGAGAACCAGGGCTCTAATTAAATAGTTGTGACTGCGGCAATCTATGGTCTCTCTCGCTTGCTGGCGAGAGTAGAGCTGTAATCAGGATTAGTTTTGATGCTGATCAGTTCACCTCCAATGGAACTGAGCAAACCACTCAATAGTTTTTTACAATTTTTTAAAGGGGGGAAAGGCAGAGCAGGGCAGCTGGCGCGCCTTTTCTCTTTGAAAGAGATTCCCTGCAAAAGAAGCCGGAGGGATAAGCAGAGGGCTAACGTGGGGAGATCAGCCACTGCAAAATGTGGTTGCCTAGATTGGCTGAAAATTACACAAAGACGGGGGACACAACAGAAAGCCTCCCCAGAAGCCTCCTCGGTGAGATAAAATCCATGTCTTTATGCAAAGGCGTGTGTGCAGGCTTACCCAGCAGAGTGCCTTTAGATTTCCAAAAAGCAAAAGTAATTTAAAAAAAAAAAAAATATTAAAAAATAAGGAAAGGGGGAAGGGGAGAGGTAAAACCCACGGCAAACCAAATGATTAGACAATAGACTGATATCTACCAGATAATGCAGTTTGTTTACCATAGCGTGTCCAATTCCTGCGTGCTGTATGCATTTAAAAACGGAAAGAAAATGAAAAAAAAAAAAAAAAATC